AGCAATCGGTCAGTATTTGTGTAAGGTTGACAACATGGCTGTCAATGTCTGTAACAGTTCCCGGGGCATATAACAGTTCCCGGAGCATAGCATGTTGAGTCAATCCTTCGCAGTTTTTCCGCAGTAAGATGCTCATACCGTTTCAGATCCATCTTACAGGAATTCCGTCGGGGATCGGGTGATTTAAGATAGATTTCGAAATTGAATTTGATAAAGCGATGATCCGAGCATGATGCTTCGCTCGACACATGAAAGTTCGAGATGTGTTGCGATGCGTGTTCACCCGCTAAAGTTAGATCAATGATAGTTTAGGCTCTGGATGTAAGAAATTTCGGCGCCGAGCCTATGTTGATAATGTTCAGCTTGGTAGAAGTCCTCCTGCCAGTCAACAGCGCATGATGCGCGTTAGTGTTAGCAGAGATGATCAGCTCCAGACCCTCGCGTTCGCAATGGTGTGCCAGCGCAGCCAGTTCCGGAGTGGTGATGCCAGCGTCACAGGGAAGTAGGCTGATGCTATCACTACGTCAGGCAGGTCCGATGAGGGTTCCTTTAATCTAATAGTGGTAAGGTCTCTGGAACAGAACTCAGTCATTAAGGTAGTACGCGCGTGTTTCGGTGTATAAATACCCGGTGCACCGTACAGTGGCATTGACACCCCCGGTTTACAGCCGTCTCGTGGCGTAGCTGGGTCCACCCAAATTAGGTACAAGTCACCCTAGGGCAGCCGCAGCGCCGACCAGCTTTGGAGCAAGCTGTCGGAAGTGCTCGTCGAAAAGCCACCTCCCGTCGCGGATCAGATCCAGATACTTCATCTGGGCCTGAACCGGTATGAGGACCGACTCGACCACGATTGAGGCGTCAGGTTCGCCACAACAACCGGTCCTGTGCTGCCCACATCCGCGGCCTTCAGCAGGTCGTCGGACCACTTTTCGGGAGCATACCAAAGCTGCGTTTTCCAGTACCCGGTCGCCACTCGAGAACTTTATGGCCCCATCAGCCATCATATCCATCATCATCAACAGCCTTTGTTGGTCCACTGCCGGACACAGGTCACTCCTCAGAAAGGTTCAGGCCTACAATACCATCGGGGAGGAGACAGGTTCGGATCACCGATATATTCGGTTTGACGTCTCCGCCCCTGCAGATGGCGCGCCGGTCAGACCGGCACCACCTGACCCACGTTGGGCGCTCAAGCGCTTAGATCGCGACCTCCTCCTGGAAGCCGCCATCGTACAGGCCTGGGCTCCTGCGCCGGACAGGCCTGTCGACGTCGATGATGAGGCACAGTGGTTCCGGGAGGCCATGACCCGCGTCTGCGATGCGGCGATGCCTAGGGCTCAGCCCAATACTGCGAGGCGCCAGGTCTACTGGTGGTCGCCGGAGATCGCACGGCTGCGTCAAGCCTGCGTGACCGCGCGCCGCCAGTGGTCCAGGTTCCGCAGGAGGCGTCGCCGCCCCGAAGATGCGGCAGCGAGAGAGGCGGAGCTGTTAGCGGGTTACAGGGTTGCCAAGAGGACCCTTCAGGCAGCGATAAAGCGGGCCAAGAGCGAGGCCCGCCGCGAGATGCTGGAGACACTGGAGCGGGATCCGTGGGGACGCCCCTACCGTATGGTTAGGGGCAAGATGCGCCCATGGGCCCCGCCGCTCACACGGTGTCTTCAGCCAGAGCTGCTTGAGAGGGTCGTTGGCTCCCTGTTCCCAACGCGAGTGGTGGAGCATACTCCGCCACAGATGGCTCCGCCTCCGGCGCTTGAGGCGCCTAACGTGGATGACGACGACGTGCCTGAGGTCACTGGGGTGGAACTAAGGGTGGCGGTGTTACGGCTTAAAGCCAAAAACACCGCCCCGGGACCCGATGGCATTCCTGGCCGAGCGTGGGTCCTGGCCCTAGTCGACGAGGCTCTCGAGCCCCGACTGCGAGGGTTCTTCAGCGCATGCCTCGAGCGGGGCCAGTTTCCGAAATTGTGGAGGACGGGGAAACTGGTCCTCATCCGAAAGGAGGGGCGCCCGGCGGACTCACCGTCCGCCTACCGGCCCATAGTGTTGCTTGACGAGGTGTGCAAGCTCTTTGAAAGAGTGATTGCAAGGCGCCTCGTCAAGCATCTCGTGATGGTTGGGCCGGATCTGGCGGACAACCAGTACGGTTTCCGTCAGGGGCGCTCCACCGTGGATGCGATCATGCGCGTGAAGGCTCTGGCGGAGGAAGCACTCTCCCGGGGCGAAGTGGTGCTGGCGGTGTCCTTGGACATCGCCAACGCGTTCAACACTATGCCCTGGAGCTGCATCAGGGAGGCGCTCGTGTATCACGAAGTGCCTCTGTACCTCCGCCGCATAGTCGGGGCATATTTGTCGGAGAGAGCCGTCGTCTACCCCAGTAGGACCGGTCTCGGTAGGCGTGAAATGTCGTGCGGTGTTCCGCAGGGGTCGGTGTTAGGGCCACTCTTGTGGAACATCGGCTACGACTGGGTGCTTCGTGGTGCCTTCTTGGATGGTGTCGCCGTCGTGTGCTACGCGGACGACACACTCGTGACGGCGCGCGGCAAGACGCACCACGAGGCAACCCTGAGGGCCACGGCCGGGGTTGCCCAAGTCGTTGAGCGTATCCGGCGGCTGGGTCTCGAGGTGGCTCTGCACAAGTCCGAGGCCCTGTTCTTCCACGGGCTTCGGAGGAAGCCGCCTGAGGGATCTAGCCTCACGGTAGGAGGCACTCGCATCGGCATCGAGCCCTCGATCAAGTATCTGGGGCTCGTACTCGATGGCCGATGGGACTTCGGATATCATTTCCGAGGTCTGGTCCCCAAGTTGGTTGGGGCAGCGCGTGCGTTGGCGCGGCTGCTGCCCAACATGAAGGGACCCGATGACTCCTGCCGGAGACTCTACTCGGGGGTTGTGCGGTCCATGGCCCTTTACGGGTGCCCAGTATGGGCGGGGGCCCTGAAGGCCAGCAACGTCGCGATACTGCGGCGACCGCAGCGAATGCTGGCCATCAGGATCATAAGGGGTTACCGCACGATCTCCTTTGAGGCGGCAAGTCTCCTGGCCGGAACTCCACCGTGGGACCTGGAGGCGAGAGCCCTTGCAGCACTGTATCAGTGGCGCAAGGAGGCGCAGGAGTTGGGTCGATGCCCCGAGATTCGAGAAATCGATGACCGGAAATCCCAACTCCGCCAGGTCATCATAGGGGAGTGGAGGGAACGACTCGGGCAACCGAGTGCCGGGCACGCCGTCATTGCGGCGGTAAGACCCGTTATGGAGGATTGGCTCGAGAGGCGTCACGGGACCCTCTCATACCGATTGACGCAGGTGATCACTGGGAAGGGATGTTTCGGAGATCACCTGTGTCTGATCCGCAAGGAGCCAACGCCTGAGTGCCACCACTGCGATGGCCAGACCGTGGACACGGCTCTCCACACGCTGGCAGAGTGCCCGGCGTGGGTTGAGCAGAGGCGAGACCTCGTGGCGGCCATCGGAGTGGGAGTTCTCTCGCTCGATAGCCTGATTGCGGCTATCGTGCGGAGCGAGAGTGCGTGGAACTCTGCCGTCTCCTTCTGCGAGCAAGTTATGCTCGCGAAGGAGACGGCGGAGCGGGACCGGGAGAGGTTTAGAACTCTCCCGGCCCGCCAGGCCCGGGCACGGGCCAGGCAGCGCAGGCGACTCAGGCGCCGGAGGTCGCAGAACGACCTCCGTCCTCCATAAGCGCAGGCCTGGGGGTGACAGGTGAGGCCATCTGTCACCCTAGCAGAAGCAGGCCGGGGTGGCGGCGAGCGCGTTGCGAAGCGCGCTCGCTTTCAGGGAGCACAGGGAACATGGGGTTCCCACACGGGGCGGGGGTCGTCTACTCGTCTGTAGATGACCCGAGGTATGTCGGGGCACCAGGGCCTTCCTTTCTAGGGTATACCTGGTTCCCCGGTTATTAGTACCCGGCGAAGGCGTGCGGTTTTAGTCGGTTCGAGTCCGACATGCCACCGACAGGTGGTATCCGAGGGGATTTCCGCACGGAAAAAAAAAAAAAAAAAAAAAAAGGCCTACAATACCACGTCGTCCAGACGGGTTGTTATATGGTTTGTTTCAAGTTTTCCTTCTCTTCGCAGTGCTGTTGTCGTGCGTAGTTTGCTCCCTCAGTCAGCTCTTACGACACCCACGGGATGTGAAGGGGTGGTGACACTCCGTATTCTTAATCCGTCACCACACGGACGGATACAAATATGAACACTACCAATTAAGACTCATAAAATAATTCATAGAAAACTATAACAACATTTTATATACATAATCTTAATCTATACTTTTGTCTCATAATACTTATTTATAAAATTTTCTGGGCTTTTAAAGAAAGTGAAAACTTTCGGCAAATTGTAAAAACACTATCTATTTCTATAAAAGAAGAAACAGACTGATTCACTGACTAATCGATCAACGCACAGCTAAAGCTGGGTCTAGAAACATGAAATTTTGCACAAATGTTCCTTAAGTGAATAGGTGAGCACTAAAAAAAAATTTAAACATTTTACCACTAAGGGTGCTAAATAGGGGTTGGAAATTCATATGACATTTCGTTATTTTTGGTAGTAGCGTTTTCAAACTCACTGTAAATACTTATGATTAAAAGTAACAAAAATGTTGTAACTAATTTTTCGAAACTACCCTTAAAACCCCCAATAAGTGATTGAATCGGGTTGTTATAAAATATTGTTGGGAACTTGTTACATGCATATTTTAGTAGAGAAAAACCGAGAATTCTCAAAATTTGTAGTGTGATGTCATATATTGCACTCGTGCGAAGCCAGAGCGGGTCACCAGTAAAAATATAATACAGTTACGAATAACATAATTTCACGATGATTGAAGAACACCTACCCACTAGTTTTTCCGATACGATGATTCAATACTTTATTCAATCGTTTCTACTACGGCGTTTGATATGACTACCTAATTAAGTTGTCATTTAATACAAACTTAACGGTAATCCAGTCCACATTTAAGAACGCAAATTCAACTCAATGGCGGTGATGTCCTATTCATTAACTGGTAGGGCAACTAATATCTGCCTTAACTGGTTAAAGTCTATGACGTTACTGATCGATCATCGTTTACCTGATTGAAATGAAGTCTTAATAAAATACGTGATTCAGAGAATCAGCACAGTTGAGTGCGAACTCTTGCGCAACAGGCCGCGGGTCACCGGCTATCATACACGTGCATAAGGACAGAAGGTAAGTCACTATTGATATCTTTTAAGTGTAATTAGAAAGCCTCAACGTGGTGTCGAGTAAAAATGTCAAGCAAAAGTGTTTTTATCTTAAACAGTGAATTAAAGGACTTAAATAAAAATATTTTATACTGTAGGTATACTGAAGGCTTATGACCAAGTATTCGACTAAATTCGTAAATTTTTTAGACCACTTATTTTTATAGCCACCCTATGCCTTTGCTATATAAAATATGTAAAATTTCATGACTACCAGATAAAGAGTACGGTACCTTAAAAATACAAACATGGATTTTTAATATAAGATTTGTAGGTGGAATTATTGTCGATGCTGCCGAATTATTATTATGATAGCGTTTAGGTATGTTTATTAGTTTCGTCATTACAAATTTGCAGGAGGAGTTTGCTCAAATCCAAATTAATAAACTTAAATTTGATTATTATTCACACTATATATAGTGTACTCAGATTTAACATTATGCATGTGTATCATTCACAGAACTTATTATTATATTATCACATGTTATATTAATATTATGTTAATAGATCACTATAAATTTAATGCTTCATCATTAATCAGCTGTTGTTATTAAAACCAAATGGTCTTCTTTCTTAAATGGAAATGAGTTCAAAATCTCTTGTAGCTCTAAACTGTTATTATGCTGCTAATATTCGTTTTGAAAAAAAAGTAAACATCACTTTGAGCCTTCCAAACCGTTAAACTTTAAGTATCGTTTTATGATGTGACGTAATGTGAACCATTACCCGGTAAATAAAGTACCACTAACTTAAATCCACCTAAATGATGATACCCTATAATCAGCTGTATGCTTCATTACTTAAGTTTTAACCTTCGGAGGTTTTTCTTTTATTTAAATAAGACCAACCAGACAAGACCAAAAGAATTGCCTCTCCTCTGCTATTGCTCTGCTTTAAGTGGGTCGCTTACAAAAGCCTAAAATCAACTGCTCATCGGCACAATTTTTAAAAAGAATTCGAAATATTTATAACACAGTGATTAGTTCCAGTTCACATAATACTCGTATTACCTACAGAGAGCAATTATTGCACAAGTATTACAAAAGTAACCAAAACCGCTATAGGTGTAAATATAATATTTGAAGATTTCTCTTGATTCCCTTAAGATTCCATTGTGAAATAGTGACTTGATGGTAAGAAATAAATTGGAAAGGATACTCTTTTAAACAAAAGAGTATTTTTCAAAAAGTTAGCCATCATCCAGCAATATCGAATGAACTCAAAACTTTCTTTTTTAAGTAAGCTAATACTAGACCTCTAAATTACCGTATCCAAATAAGAAGGTTTTTAACTTTACTACTCTGTCAAGAAAGTACCGGGAAAAGATCACTAATATACAAAATTCATCCAAATTTATTTTATCACCTTCAAAGTATGCTCCTTCAGAAACGATACACTTACGCCAATGAATAATCCAATCATCAAAACAGTTTTTAAACGATGTTTCCGGCATTGGGCTCAGTTCTCGCCGCGAATTCTCCTTTATTCTAAATTTTCAATCGTTAGAAGACTCTATCGATTGAAAATTTGAAAATTTGCATTTGGAACTATAAACAAATCATCCATTCCCGATACTTTTTTGACTGAATATATAGCATAAATAAAATCAGCATAAGCTCCACAAATATTTGCCAAGTAACGCAATTGTGTGTTTACAAACAAACCGTTGTTTAGCAACCAACTGAAAGTAAATGTAAATAACTTTGTAAATACTTATACACTTAAAGGCACAATGAACCGTCAACATAAATTTGCCGATGTAACTTCAAAAGTCCATTCCGGGGTGTTTTTTTTCGCAATATTGCAGAAGATAGGATAATATCAGATAGGAAAAAACAAGTAAAAATAATTTTTTGCTATAATTTTAATTACTTAAGCTTAAGCTTCTTCACCTGTAAGCTATTCAGCATAAGACTACATTCCCGGAGGATATGATGAGAAGACTATTCACAGTTAGCGTCAGGTGTTGAGCATTGACACAATAGCGACTCGACTAAATTAAATGAATATATTTTGCTCTTAAAGTTACCATGACCAGTAAGAAATTGAGCGACACAGTGATCCACCTCGAAATCGACCGCAAGCACACTCGCGAACACCGACAAAGCCTAGGTGCTAAACGTCCTATACGCCTTGCACGAGAATATCAGTGTAAGTCGTTAGCATTGTTACATTTTGCCAAAGATGTTTCCATCGGTAACTTTGTACATTTATGATAGTATCACGGTATGTTACATACAACCTAATTATCATAATATTATCACATGTAATACATGTTTTAAAATCAGGTTTAATAGTTGAAGTTTGCAGGAACTGTGTGATTCAACAAAAAAGGATGAGATTTCCTTAATTAAAAACTACTAAGACTAGACTTGTAAGACTGGATATTTATTATCAGTAGGTATATGTCAAACATTTGATCTAACGCTGTGTACAGTCACAATTTAATCTATGTCAAATAACCAACTTCGTTACGGGATTTTTGTTTAATTTGCAGAAATTAAATCTTAGTATAACTTTTTTCACTTAATTCATTTGCTTAATTTCACACATTCATTTTCACTTCTTTTTAATTCATTTGCTGCTTAATCAATCCTTATTTTTTAAGTTTTCTATCTATAGCATAACAATAAATAGCATTCATTAGTTTTCATTAGTCACTTAACAAAAACATGTGAAGTTTTATTAAGTTTTAGGAAAAACCTTTCAGTTTTGACTTTCCCTTGTCAATGAGAGCCACGTGAACTGTCATTATTATACACATAAATTCGTATTTAGACTGACAAGTGACAGTAATTCTGGTTGTCATCTTTCTTCGGTAATGCATTTTCGCCAAGAATATCCAACAAATATATGAAATTTGTAAAACACTGATCGATGTATTTGAAAGTAAAACTTTTAAAATCACAAAAAAATAGTGGGTGCTATAATAAGTTAATGACTACTTTGAAAAAGTGTATTTATAAATTCGTCGTTTCAAATTTGGATTTTTACGGAAAATGAGTGATTTTGTTTTTGTCTAAAAATCACTCTATAAATCACAATCTTCATTAAGACGTTTTATCTAAACAAAAATGGTTTGTTTTCATCTGAAACACCTTTTTCAAATGATATTTCAAACCATAATTTAAGCCCACAGGATTAATTTAAATAAGCATTGACGCTTATTTAATAAAACTACGAATACGACCCACAGTTTCTTAATAAATAAATTAAAGAAAATCTAAATACTAAACCTGCTTTACAGGTGTCACCATTTTGAGTCATTCACAGACTTATAATAAAAGCACACCATCGAAATTTATGTATGTTGTTCAAGTTTCAAAGTTAACTAATCAATATTTTAATAGCACCATTAATTTGAATGAAGTCCATTGTTAAATACAATAAAACCAATACATAATACATAATCGCATTGGAGCATAATTTATAATAATTTATTTAAGAATCTGTATCGGTAACTTTAAATATACCTTTTATTTGTATGTTTAAAATGTGGCATTTATGCATTTTCAAAGAAAATTGGTGTGGTGTAGATGACATTAGCTGAAATGGATTTTGCTTGCCTTTGACATTCCCGATTTTTCATGAACGTAATATAGAAACTTGCCTTCCTACTTAAATTGAGTGCATGTTTTACCAGAAGTATAATGAGAACTCGGTTGAACTTTAGAAATTACTTATCAGCTGTTGTTAAAAGAAAATTTACTCACCATTATCAATAGTTTTGCTTAGCTTTAGAATTTCTTTAAACGTTAGTCTGTTCTTTTTCTGTTCTACATATAATATTAATAAAGAATTTGTTATCCTCTGCAATACAAAATAATATCGAATCGAAAGACGCTACCGGCAATATATATTTTTACTTAAGTACAATAAAAATTATATCACAATACACAACATAATATCCCAATAAAAATTATGTTTTAAAGTAAAAGGTTTAAAAATTGAAAAGATATACTGGTTTTATTTATCAAATTTTTTTTTTTACTACACTACTACTTACTACACCAAATTATAACAAGTATTACATAAAAGATTCATACGAAAATATCTTACGAAGACTATTTATTAAGTACTTACTACAACATCATAAACTTTGACACGGAACTAAATAAACACCGATTTCATATTTTAGTTACGCATCGTCAATGTCTGCTTTAAAATAGTATAACAAATTAAGTTGTAAACATTACAATAACGATAGTAGTAGAGTTTGTACACATGATTGAAGGAAACGATATACCTATAATAAAGACATATTGGATTAGGACTTCTAAAACTATATATTAAAACGGACTGTGTCCGTTTCGTAAAGTTACCCATGACACAGGATATATTCCTGTGTCATATAGGCTGTGTGTAAAAAAGAAAAAAACTTACTACTATTTGTATGTTAGTAGTCAATATTTATGACTTATTACTGGCGTTGTCCAGGGCCATAGTAATGATATTTTTTTTAAACTTAGTAGTCTCAAATGCGTTGTAATTCGTCATTAAGTTTTAAATATGTAAAGATATAGCAGCTACGTTCGTAAACATAGCTCGCACATTATCCTGTTTAATAATTTTGTACCAAGTGTGTGCATATATTTGATTATGATATAAGATATTATCTTACTTGTAAATTATTAATATTTACTGTGCCGTATTGTGCGGGTTGAGTGAAAAATGTTCTTTCCTTACCTAAGTACCTGATTATCTTTTACATATTTTATAATAATAGAAATTACATTATAAAAAAAGCAGTGGCACACCGGAAATGCCGACAGAAGTGAATATTTATATACTTATATACCGAGGTGTCGGTAACGGTAACGGGTCCATTTTTTTTTTTTATCTGAACAGTATGTACATGTTTTTTTCCCATAAAATACATTCTTTTGTTTGTTGTTCAAAAATGCCGAATACGCCTCATGAAGTTTTCACTTCAAAAATAACATTCACATTTTTTATTTTGCAACT